ATTTAAAACACCAATTATTATTATTATTATTATTATTATTATTATTATTATTATTATTATATTACTACAAAATGTGTACTAAACTATTTTTAGAAATTATATTTTCAATGTCTTAAAAAATAAATGAAAAGGAAAGAAAGCAATGTATTTATATTCGCATTTGTTCAGATAATAACCATGACTCCGGCTAAAATATCCGGCCTTATTCAAACATATAGGCCAGTAGAGGTTACATGTCTTTAAACATGCTCTTTGCCATTAGAGTTGTTTTGCTCACGCTTTTAGTTTGCAGATACACACCGCAAAGCCAATTGGGTCACTAACCTTCATCCCATAAGAAAAATGCAGTTTTACTCCGAGCTGAGGGAAAGAGCTCCACATATTCAACAAGAAGGGCAAAAGTTGCGACTTTCTTTGAAACCTGTGATTCTCTGTCACTTTGTGCATATGCTTTGGGTGGCTAAATCCCAATTAGGGTCGGCTGACACGCTGCTCTATTCACTCAGAGCCCGGCCTGCATACATTTGCCTAGGAATGAACTCCTCAAATAGATCTCCTGCTAAATGCGTTGGACAGCAGAGAGAATTGGCCTGACTGACACGTTCTTTCTGAGGCGCTCGAGTGAGAAAAGGTATGAATTTATAAGGTACACCGAAACATATCAATTCACGCAACTTCACACGCCTTTATCCGCGTCTCCTCATGCGAGACAAAGTGAGTTTAAGTCAGGGAAATGTGGCTTGAAAAAGCCCGGCGCAAAAAAACTTTGTAGAGACTTTGAATACCGAAACGGTGCAGCCCACTTCAGGGGGAGAGAGAGGAGGCTTTCTGAATGAAATCACGCATGAACAGCGTTGAATCAGGTGCCGTTTATTCGGCTCCTCTCTAATGCGATTTTGAATATTAGTCTGGGTTAAAACCCAATCATGTCATCTGGTGGGAGTCCCATACAAGCATAATTACTATTCAAACGCGTCGCTAATGTCCCACCCGCATCAAGGCAGCTGGTCCGCCCTTTGGGGCAGCTTGCATCTTTCCCCAGGTTTCTCAGAAAGTAAAACACCTTAAATATGAACAGGGGACTGCTTTGGAGTAAAGGAAAGAAAGGCGAGGAATAAGATGAACAGGCCTGTCCAAAGCTCTTTCTCTTTGTATGAGAGCGGGCTCAGATCTGAAAGGAATAATAAGAAGTTCTGGTTCTTTAGCCGGACAGAGTTCAGTTTGTCTAAAGCATGAGAATTTTAACTTGTCTTTGTTTTTTCAAATTACAAGACGTGTGACTAAATAAATGTGAGAGGTGCCGAAGGTGTGGGCTTACATGTGGGGAAATAAATGGATGTAGACAAACACAAAGTCATTTCTAAGACGTGGGAATCTGTGAGAAATAGGCCACATTGCTAAGTGGGACAATGATTGGGCTCTTCTGAAAAGACCCGAACAAAGTTTATGGGTCGACATAAAAAATGTGTTTTCTTCTGAGCTCAGAGGGGTCTTAAATGGTAGGCCATTGAAACCAGTCCAGGAGAGGTGGTGGTGAACCCTTCGCACCCCTGAAGTATAGTCAGGGAGCATGAATGGAGATCCCTGGTGGGGCATTGCTCTCTGTATTTACCGCGTTGCTTTGCAGACAGGTTGTTCCTCTATATTCATGGCTCATTAATGGCCAACCAGTTAAATCAGAGCCCCACCGTTTAGACAGTTAAAATCCAAAAAAGGCTGGCAAGAGCCAGGCAGAGCCGCCCATAAAAACGTCTCCTTCCTCTCCCAGCTCCGATTCTTCTCAGGTCGTTATTTAAGTTTATTAAAGACTTGCGGAGTTCGTTTAAGAGAAGCGCACTTGCGGAATGCTGTTGATCGACTCCGCAATATTGTCCCGGAATAAAGCTCCGACCATGTAATTAATGTGTCTTTTTCTTTTCAGAAAGGAGGAGGAACAATGCCGCCGGTCAAGCCATTTAATTTCATTTAATTTTCCATCCCATTTGCTTCCAACACTGTTTTCACTCTGACACCGAGCCTTTTGACTGCTCTTAAGGCTTCAGAGCGCACAGTGGAGCGGGGATTCACCACCACAGCGACTTCTCCGCAAACAGAAAGGAAACGTCCTCGCCTCCTACGCCCCCCTCCTTCCTCGGAGAATAATTAATTAATTTCACTGTGGAGAAGTGCGGGGCCTTTAAAGCAGCGCAGGGGTGGATGGGAACCAGCCGCAAATGGCGAGGCGTTAATAAATAACCCATCCGCACAGCCAGGCGCAAACGTTGCGCCTATTGATGAGATTGTTCGCGTGTCGTTCAGGCTCTTTGGCTCTGACCGCGCGGGGAGGAGAGGGGAAGAAAGAGAGAAAGAAGTGGGGAGAGAGAGAGAGAGAGAGAGAGAGAGAGAGAGAGAGAGAGAGAAAGAGAAAGAGAGATTAATGTGTATTAGTTAATTTACGGCTTTTTATTATACTAGCTTAACTGTTTAGATGGTTTTGGGGACATACCAAAAAATCTAAATGAATGAATGAATGAGAGCAATAATTTAAAGTGAACTGTAGATTGTGTTTTATTTGTATTCTGAACTGGATCCATTCTATAAATATATCAAATACTGCACGCATGCATAAAACGTTTGGACATTTTATCATACTATATTATTGTTTTAAAAGGTCTAGGGGAGGCTACTTGCGCTAAATGAGAATCAAAGTCCGCAGTGGACAGGTCAGAGGTCAGCATGTTCATGGTCTGAATTGATCGCCCACAGGTCCTTGCCCTTCTTCTCTGGTCAGACTCATCATCACCACAACATCGCAGCGCTTTAAACAAGCTGCTGCACAGAGTCACATCTCAACATGCCATTAATACAAGTGATTGTTGTTTGCCAGCCAACAAGTGACTCAATAATATCAGGCGTTTGGATCCTTTTGCTATGTGGTCTGAAGTAATATGTGTGATATTATATGATCTTAATGAGGTTACAGTTGGACTGATATAAGATAAAATTCTCGAATGCTGCATTTTATTACTTTGCT